GCCATGTCCTACAACCGCTACGTGGCCATCTGCAAGCCCCTGCACTATGGGACCCTCCTGGGCAGCAGAGCTTGTGTCCACATGGCAGCAGCTGCCTGGGGCACTGGGTTTCTCAGTGCTCTGCTGCACACAGCCAATACATTTTCACTGCCCCTGTGCCGAGGCAATGCTGTGGAGCAGTTCTTCTGTGAAATCCCCCAGATCCTCAAGCTCTCCTGCTCACACTCCTACCTCAGGGAAGTTGGGCTTCTTGTGGTTGGCGTCCTGATTGTTGTTGGCTGTTTTGTTTTCATTGTGGGGTCCTATGTGCAGATCTTCAGGGCCGTGCTGAGGATGCCCTCTGAGCAGGGACGCCACAAAGCCTTTTCCACGTGCCTCCCTCACTCGGCCGTGCTTTCCCTCTTTGTCAACACTTCTGTCTTTGCCTGCCTGAAGCCCCCTTCCATCTCCTCCCCATCCCTGGATCTGGTGGTGTCAGTGCTGTACTCGGTGGTGCCTCCAGCAGTGAACCCCCTCATCTACAGCCTGAGGAACCGGGAGCTCAAGGATGCTGTGAGGAAGCTGGTGACCAGATGTGTTTCAGCAGATATACGCTGCTTGCTTTACCCTGGAAAGGGCTTCCAGTGTAGGTCATGGCAGGCCATGTCTGTCTTTCCTGCTTTACATTTGTTTTCCTATTTCAATTTGTGATGATGTTGTCTTCATAGAAATGTCAGGTTTCATCTCCTAATTAAGTTGCCACTCGTGTTGTGTGACCCACAGACTTTGTGTCACTCTGGTCTCTGATTGTATTTAAGGGAAATAAATGATCCTGCAGCAACTTCTTCTCTGTGATATGTCCTCACATGTCAGGAATGAAGGGGAATGCAAGCAGCTTTCTGGCTGCTCCAGCTCTGGGATGGCTGCTCTGTGCCTGGAGCAGGAAGAGCTCTTGGGGAGCCCAAGGCCTGGGGCTGTTGTGCTGGTGTGGGGCGATGGGAAGGCATGGGGGAGCTGCAGAGCTCTCAGGGTGTCCTGGGGAGGAGAGCAGGGGACACAGGGGTCCCTGCAGGGGACTGCCCTGCAGTGGCACAGGCTGGGGCTGCCTGGCTGAGAACAGCCCATGGGAAAGGTCTGGGTGGGCAGGAGCTGGACAGGAGGCAGCAAGGGAGGACAGCAGCATCGGGGGCTGTATGAGCAGGTGTCGGAGTCGCGGAAGACAAGCCTCATGCTATCATGGTCAGCAAGTCTCGTTTATTTAGCAAAATACAGCCATTTTTATAGTCTCAGTGTTAGATACAATTTCTGCTAGGGTACAATAAAATCATTGGTTAGTTTGTGCTGACACAGGGGTTTCTAAATAACCGCGACCGCTTCTTGTTTCAACATGTTTCAACTTGCTCAAGCATTACCGTTGCGCTATCTCAGCAAGCATACATCCTGTCCTTGAGCAACCATTGACCACACAGTTGCTGCTGTGTCCTTCGGCCTAGATCTTGACTAGTTGCACAGTCTCGTGGCCTTTGTCCTGCAGCCATTCTGCTGTCAGGCTCTCTACACTTCCCCCGTTTTCTTTAGTAGCAAGCATAGCCATTTTATGATTAAAAGCATTCGATATCATTTTTTGTAAACACTGCATGATACACGGTAAAAGCAAAATTGCGAGCAAAATTATAGCCAGCACCAAAGTAAGTTTTTCTATCAAAGTGATTAACCAAGGAGATAATCCAAAGGATGCTAACCAGTTTGTGAAAGGATCACTTGTCTCCTGTAATTTTCGCATATTGTCTTTCAATTGTGATAATTGTTTGTGAATGGAGTTAGAGTGGTCTGAGAGATTCATGCAGCACATACCTTCAAATTCATCACACCCATGACCTTGTGCGAGGAGTAAAAAATCTATAGCAGCTCGGTTCTGGAGGACTGCATGTCGGACTCCTTCTAAGTCCGTAGCCAGATCTGACAAAATACTTGTGGTGATATTTATTTGTTTCTCTGTCCAGCAAGCCAATCTACTTAACTGAGTGAGGGCTCGAGCAGATGCTACACCAGGAGCAAAAATGCTAGCTAGAATAACCTCGGGACGGTCCCAAAGTGTGACAGTATCGTGACACTCTGGGCCTAACTGTGTGGTTGCTCTTTTGCGGCGTAGACGAGTATGATTGGCCTTAAGAACTGTCATGATATCAGGTGCAAACATTGTTAAATGACCTATATAACATGGTCCTCCTACCGGACTTCTGGGGATTCCTTGCCATGCTCTATCACCACAGATGAGAAAATATCCGTCAGGTAAATGACCTGTTCGGGAGGTAACAACATATTCATGTTTAATGTGTTGACAATAAGCGGTCTCGTTATAGGGTCTGTATGAGGAAACATTAACTGGGCGGTATTGGTTAGGAAGACTTTCAAATTTAAGGCAATTTTGTGCAGGCGCAGAGCCAAGCAGGTTAAACTCTTGGATTTCAGAAACATTCTTGTATCGGGAGAAGTCATAAGAATAATTGGTTGGGACTCCTACCAAACAAGTTCTAAAAGGATCGGAAGCTTTAGCTAAAGCAAGACATATACTGCTCTGATTAACCTTTTCAGCCCATGTGACCCACATGTTTTTTCGCTCTTCAATTTTGTTTAGAGTGTCCCAAGTTCCTGTGCTGAGGCCGAAAACGGCGACAAGTACGATCCCAATCCTCAGGTTTAACCTGCCACAGGAGTGGAATACCCACATCCTTGCCACACTTGATTTCTAGAGATACTGTGGTTAAAACAGTGTGAATGTGGGAAATAATTTCCTGTACCTGATATTTCAAGTATCGTTGTTCCAGATCTTCTCGATTTTCCACTAACGGATACGTTAATGGGGGATTCGGGGGAAAATTCGGGGGAGGAGTTATACCAGCTTCAGCCAATAGCGCTCTATAAGGATTGTTATCACGATGAGGATTCCAGGCACAGTTCACACAAGCGCCATATGTCTGGAATTGACCTTGGGACACCCAAACTTTTTGATGGCAACCTCCACACTTAATTTTAACCCAAGCCTTGTGATCTTGTAAACACGCTAAACAGTAATAAGTAGGAGACAAAATTTGCTCAAATATTTTAACAAGTTCCCAAAGCAGATAGAGTTCTGCCTCTTCCTGCGTCGAATAGGGTAGGCGGACTCCAAAACGTCTCTCAAACGGTTCCAACAACGGGCGCAGGATCAGCTGCAGACGATGACGACGGCGGAGTTCTGGGCTGTTCATTGAGTAGCTCGAGTCCAACGGGCAGGAATCCACTTAGGTCCTGTTGGGGCAGAAACACAAACATAGCCCCTCCCCCAGGTTATCAGTTCTTCAGAAGTAGACAGGTTAAAGTTAAATGTAACATCATTACTCTCTCTCTCCCCCTTTTTTTTTTTTTTTTTTTTTTTTTTGTCCCTGCAAAAGCCATCATTACTCCCACTACAGTCCCACGTACAGAACGTGGCACAAGGACCCTGTGGAGACTAACAGCAAACCAGCTCCGAGAAGCATCATTGCAGTGCGAGGTGGCAGGCTCAACCTTAGCGGGCGTCCCCGCAGAGGCTCTGCCTCCCCCACATTGTATGAGCCTTGGGCTTTTAAACTGACCAAAATGCACACTCATTCCAACACAGGTGGCCAGCCTGTGCTGGAAGAAGTGGCCAGCAGTATCTACTATACTATATACTATACTATACTTGCGAGAGAGAGGCTCACGTGGCGGGGGGCGTTCCCACGGTGACGGCGACCACTCCCTACTGCTTGCCTTGAAAAAGCCTTTGAGAGGGCAGCGACCGGTCGCTGCCCACCGGGTGCAGGGAGGAACAAGCAGGTCGTGTTGCTGGTGTCCCAGACTGCAGACCAATATGGTTGTCTCCAGGAAGAGAGCTTGCAGTAAGACGACTACAGCAACTCAGACGGAGACCCCGTCCCAAACCGTGGCTGTTCAGGTCTCTGGGTGCAGGGAGTGCCAGAGCCTGATGCTGCCGGGGGAGGGAGGACAGCATTCCACCTGCGTGAGGTGTGAGCAGGTAGAAGATCTGCTTAGCCTGGTGGCAAGACTTAAGGAGGAGGTCGAGACGCTGAGGACCATCAGGGAGTGTGAAAGGGAGATCGACTGGTGGAGTAACTCCCTGGAGTGCCGGTCGGAACGGTTCCAGGGAGATACCCCCCAAAAGGGGAAGGACCCCCTGCCCTCTCAGGCAGAGGGGGATGGCCCGAGACAGCCCCTGCCCTGTAGCTGTAGCGCAGAGGTAGGGGACCAAAAAGACGACGAGGGTTGGAAGCGAGTTCCGGTTCGACGTCGGGGGAAACCCTCCCCCCTTCCTGCCCTGCTTCCCCAGGTGTCCGTCCGTAATAGGTTCGAAGCCCTGGATCTTGAAGGAGAGGTAAGTGAGAATGTGGGGCAAGGCCAGCCCACATGGCCACATAGGAAAAGGGGGTCGACTTTGCACCTCAGGACTGCCTCTGTTAAGAAAGAAAGAAGGGTCATTGTAGTAGGGGATTCCCTTCTGAGAGGAACAGAGGGCCCGATATGCAGAGTTGACCCTCATCACAGGGAAGTGTGTAGTCTGCCTGGAGCCCGGATCAGGGATATCACCAGGGCGCTCCCCAGCCTGGTGCACCCGACAGACTACTACCCGCTGCTGGTCTTCCAGACAGGTGGGGAGGAAGCTGCTTCCCGCAGTCTGAGGGGGATGAAGAAAGACTACAGGGCCTTGGGGAGGATGGTGAAAGAGTCTGGGGCTCAAGTGATCTTCTCCGCACTCCTTCCATCTTCCACTGATGATGTGGGAAGGAATGGGAAGATTCAGTTCATGAACGATTGGCTACGAGACTGGTGCTACAGACAGGGCTTTGGATTCTTTGATAATGGCTGGTTTTATAGGGCACCAGTCTGGACAATGTCAAGTGAGAAAGGTTTGTCTCACAGAGGCAAAAGGATACTGGGGCACGAATTAGCAGGGCTCATTTGGAGAGCTTTAAACTAGATTCGAAGGGGGATGGGGTTGTTGCTGGGCTTGCCCCAGTGGGGCAGCGCTCCAGAATTAATGAAGACTGGGAGGCCTCCTATAATCCTAGGGTGAAATCGGTGTGCTCAGCTCGCTCCCTGAAATGTCTGTACACCAATGCGCGCAGCATGGGAAATAAACAGGAGGAGTTGGAAACCTGTGTTAAGTCAGGAGACTATGATCTGGTGGCAATTACAGAGACTTGGTGGGACAGCTCACATGACTGGAATATAGTCATGGAGGGCTATGTCCTTTTCAGGAAAGACAGGCCAGCCAGGAAGGGTGGTGGGGTTGCTCTTTATGTGCGGGAGGAACTACAATGCACCGAGTTCTGTCTGGGGACAGATGATGAGCGAGTTGAGAGTCTGTGGGTGAGAATTAAGGGGCAGGCTGGCAGGGGGGATACTGTTGTAGGTGTCTGTTACAGACCCCCAGATCAGGGTGAGGAAGTTGACGAGGCCTTCTACAGGCAGCTGAGAGAGGCCTCACAGTCACAGGCCGTGGTCGTCATGGGGGATTTTAACTTCCCTGATGTTTGCTGGAAGGACCACTCGGCAACCCAGCCGCGGTCCAGGAGGTTCCTCCAGTGTGTGGATGATAACTTCCTCCTGCAAATGGTGGATGAGCCGACCAGGAGAGGAGCGCTGCTGGATCTCATCCTCACTAACAAGGAGGGTCTGGTTGAAGCAGTAAGGGTAGAGGGCTGCCTTG